TCTCACGCATTCGTTGTTTTAAGAGGGTTGAAAATAGTGTTTTACCACATAACTGTGTTGTTTTGAAAAGATTGAAAAATATATATTTTTTAACCTCATTTAAGTATTGGTTTTGAGCCAATTAAATGCGGTCATGGAGACGATTTGAGTTCAGTTTTTGGTGCTGCATAGGATCGTTTTGGGGCTGGTTTACCAGCTGATTTTGAGAGTTTTATGCACTATTTTAATGCTGATTTGCGCACTGTTTTGAAGTAATTTATGTACCATTTTGGAGCCTTGAAAGACAGATTTTGCGCCCCATTTAAGTACTGATTTTTGGAACTACTAAAAATATATTTTGTGAGTTAATTAAGTGTTGTATGCAGCTTACAAGTGCTGCGAATTATGGCTTGGAGGTGTTCAAAACGTTGTGTAGTGACGTACGCTACTGCGAGAACTGTTTGGAGAGCTGTTTGGGTGTTGTCCATTGTTGTTGACCTGTTGTTTGGAGGGGTCGATAGCGGTAAGTTGTTGTAGGTAGCTGTTTGAAAGCTGTGAAAAGCTTAAAACTGTCGTAGGTTGCTTAAAATTGATGTTTGAGTGTTGTCCATTGTCGTGGACCTGTTGTTTAGAGGTGTCGATAGCTGTAGGTTGTTGTAGGTAGTTGCTTGAAGCTGTGGGAACCTTAGGACTGTTGTTGGTTGCTTAAAATTGATGTTTGGGTGTTGTCCATTGTTGTGGACCTGCTATTTGGAGGTGTCGATAGTTATAGGCTAATGTAGGTAGTTGTTTGAAAGCTGTGGGAAGCTTAGGACTGTTGTATGTTGCTTAAATTTGATGTTTGGGTGTTATCCATTGTTGTATATTTGTTGTTTGGAGGTGTCGATAGCTATAGGCTGTTGTAGGTAGTTGTTTAAAAGTTGTGTGAAGCTTAGGACTGATGTAGGTTGCTTAAAATTGATGCTTGGATGTTGTAGTTGTTGTTTGGGTTCATGTAGTTGATGTTCGAGCTCATATAGATGTTATTTGGTGTCATATAAGTGTTGTCGGAGCCTAGAAACTGCTGTAGGTAGTTGTTTGGGTGTTGTAGTTGTAGTTGTTGTTTGAGCCTATGTAGTTGATGTTCGGGTTCATATAGATAAGGGCTTTCGGAGCCTAGAAGCTGTTGTCGGTAGTTGTTTGGAAGTATGAAATGGTTGTTTAGAGTAATTGAGAGTTGTTTTAGAACCCTTAAACGCTAATTTTGAAGCCTTTAAATGCACGGTTTTGGAACTGTTTAGGGGCTGGTTTTGCTTCACCTTTTTAGGCCCGTTTGGCGGCTTACGAGCTGCATTTCGTGGGTCCGTCCAGTGGCTTAGGGGTTGCGCTTCTTGATTTCATCTCATAGTTTTTGGTCCGCACTTTTCTAAGTCTATTTGATGTCTTTTGGATCTCTCTTTTTCTTACTCAATTGAAAGACTTTTGGGCCGATCAAAACACTGTCTTAGAACAAGCTTAAGCACTCTTCTCGAGAGTCTATTTAATTACAGCTGTTGAAAAATTTTAAACGTTTTTAAGTTGATTTACCTGATATTTTCCTATTAGATTTGTTAGTTTTGAAAGTGGGTCAACATTCTCTTTTCGTTTGTTTTGTTACTTTTGTTAATGGTTATGTCAAAAAATAAGAATTTCTGATTTAATTATTTGGAAGACACTTAAAAATATTTGAGAATTAATTGGAAAACACTTAATTGAGAGTAAAACACCTTAAATCACTTCAAGCACAAGTTAGAGGCATAAGCTTGAAACTTTAAGCACAAGTTAAAGTGTAGGCTTCTTATATTTTAGGACCACACCCGAGGTGAGAGTCCATCTACCTAATTCTTAGTGTAGGCTTTCTAGATTTTAGGAGAACACCATAGGTGAGGGTTCATCTACATAATTTTCAGTATAGGCTTCCTAGATTTTAGGAGCACACGCTAGGTGAGAGTTTATTTATCTAATTTTTCAATGTAGGTTTCTTAGATTTTAGGAGCACACCATAGGTGAACGTTCATCTACCTAATTTTCGAATGAATAATGAAATTAGACACTTGAACCTGATTCACAAACTGATTAAGACAATAGACATGAGGATGCACCGAGACGTAGTTCATGCTTCCTTAATTAAATCAATAATAGAATTCTCGTCATGACTTGACATATAGTGAAACTCAATGTACCGGGATTTGAGCTTTGATATTACACTCAAATTCTCCTAGCAATTGGGGACATTTGTTAATGACAAATATAGATCACCGGACTAGGATAAGTCTAGGGTCTAGGTGGTAATGACAATGACGACATTGTTTATGTGTGCTTAAACGAGGGATACGAAGTGATATTATTAAAATAGTATATCTTATCTCAAGGATCTTCAATAAGGGAGAGGAAAGAATCGATGATATTATTCTTCGATTCTTGGTGGGATCGTTACACCCGAAGCTATTGGGTTGTCAGTAGTTCTAGCATGATTAGAGTGATTCGATTCTTGGTGGGATCGTTACACCCGAAGCCATTGGGTTGTCAGTAGTTCTAGCATGATTAGAGTGACTAGCCTGTGGACTACACGACTTTAAAAAATATTTACAAAAATAAAATAAAAATCTATTTTGTATGTTAAAAGAACTCTGCATAAAAAATACTTAAACAACAACTTTTGCATAAAAATCAATCTAGAAAATGAATTTCAAAGGCATTATAATTATACATTGCATTTATTTTTCTTCCAGCGAATCACGAGGATTTTCAAAACTCCCCAAAAAAGAATATAGTGCACTTTTTTTGTTGTCGGCCAAACAACCAGTTCTACAAATAACTCAAGCATCATACACTCTCTGCCATTGGCAAAGATCCCACTTAAGCTAGCCATCTATATACTAAAAGCCTCAACAAAACCATCATAAAAACCTTCCAGTATTATTAAAAGAACACACATTTCCATTCTGCTCAAAAACACACTATAATTTTCTCAATTTGGTATCATAACTTCAAAATACTAAAGCATCTCGAGTATCAACAATTAGGGTTACTTCAACAATTTCTAAAGAAGCGGTCAAGCAATTCCACATACATATCAAGCATCAAGTTGTGGTGAGCTCCATTATTATTGTTGGTTAATAATAGTGCAAAATATTTTCCTTTAACGAGTTCATTAATTTTATGTAGATCAACATGAATAACTTTAAACATGATCGTGATGGATTAAGTCATAACATTGAATATTATCAAAACTTCCAAAAAAAAAAAAAACCATACAAAATGATCACAAAAAATGGATCAATTATTGTACCTCATGCTTAAGACTTTTTCCATCCCAATGCCCTTAGTAAAATTACTATTAAACCAACAGAAGGGGCTTCTTCACCAATCCACAAGACCTCACTTCTGAGACTATTCTCATGCCTATTAAACCTCCCTCACCCAAATAACCCCAGCATCATTGTGTGCACTGCCTACATCTGTAAAATTTAAACATGATCTTTATTTTAAGCATCATTGTGTCGCCTTCATCACATGACAAGAGGATTCTTCTATCAAAACTTATACATCACAACAGATTGATGCATCAAGATCAATCAAATCATCCATAAAACAAGAATTTAATAGTATGATGATCAAGGTGATTCAAACCAACCTTCCATCAAGGAATGAATAAGACATGGTCAAAGCTCTGCTTTCAATAAAAGCTTAGACAGTCCTCTGTTCTTCAATCAAGATATTTTCAACATTCCAAGACACAATCCAAGGTTCTACCCTCAAATCAAAAAAGCATGAATAGCATTTGTACATTTTGTGAAGTAGTTGATTTCATAAGGCCGGCAACTCCCTATTTTTACACAATTTTAAATATTGTTATTTTCATATTTTACAAAAAAAAATTTCTACAATCATACCTACATGAGATTATTTGGACATTAATGCTTACATATATTTGATTTCATTAAAGCAATTAGAAAGATTAGCTTTGATTTTGCAAATGGTATTCCCCCTTTCTGTTAGATGGCTTGGTAGTCATTTCGTATTTTAACCCCTTAAGTTTGGAATTATTATACATCTACCTTTACAAGTCCCAAACCCTAATCATCATCCTACCTCTACCCACTACCTTTACCACCTCCACAACATCGAAAACACAACATCTAAGCCTGAAGCCTGGTATTATAGCTCTCAAATTTGTCCTTCACTTTAAGCACCTAAGCATCCAACTTCCATCTAAACACCTTTCTTCTTCAATCTTCTCCAACACATACTAAGTGATAACCCCACTAACAAAAAATCTCAGCTAACCTCATAACCATCCATATCCAAGCCTTTATCCTACTAAAACTTCCAAAATATAACTCCATCATAGTTTATCTCTCGTCCACTAATAAAGGCACCACTTAACCTAACCTCCTATACTCCACAAACTCTCACACCATACTTTAACATTAGCACATGAAAAACGACTCCCCATCCACTCAGAAGCCCACCAAATTTTTGTTCAATGAACACACAGAATTGCCTATAAAAACACTACTCTCTCATAAGCTCAAGCCAAGAAATCCATATCATATTCATGCTCTCTATATATTCTATTAAAACCATAAGTCATTGACACAAGATTAATGAACTAAACCAAAATCACACGACTGTGCAGAGACCTGAGAGAGGGCAAATAAAAGGAGTTCAGCCTATAAGAGAAATCCCTTCAAAAAAAGAAATGGCTTGAACTGAACTGCTCGTCTACTTAGCTTTATTAATTCAATGTAGTAACAACATAAGCCCTAACACCTCACCTGACCTCTTCAAATTTCTCTTGCAACGTAAGATGCGAACCAAGACGGTAGAGAGACACCCCTCTTATAGAAACTTCTTTTAAAAACAAAACAAAGAGCAGCGCATGTCGTTTCAGTCCAAATTTCGCAACTTTTTTAAAATCAAACATTTCAATGACTCCGAAACCAAGTAAAACACAAAAGTGCATATTGCGAGAAAACCAATCGAAGAAGAAATAAAACCTGGAAAAGTGCTCTGGTTAAAAGAGGGTTTTCTATTAAAATCTGCCGCGCTTGCTTCTGGTTCTGATCGATCAAAACCTGTAAAAGGGCAACTTAAGCCTCAAATCCGACAAGTGCAGGGCAAAGCCTCTGCAAGAAAGCTATGGATAATAGCGTTACCTTCAACTGGGACATGATTTCATAGAGTTGGCTCTTAGACATTCCGGCAATGTGAGACGTAAACCCGTCGCCGGAAAACTGTTGCTGTTGCTGCTGCTTCGCAGCCATCGCCTCCAATTTCCCTCGCTCTGGTGTCTGCCTTGTATGATAAAAGAGATTGATTTCGTCTGTAAATCCGGATCCACGGGCCCTAAGGTGACGGGCATAAGATCGAGGGTTTTGAAACCTTGTCGGATTGGATATTCGGAAAGAAGAAGAAATCGGATTCAATATGAAACCCTTTCGGATGGATTTAGCGGATGTTCTTGTGGCCTTGTTACCCGTAAACGAGTCCAACACTAGCAAACACTAGCATGCTTGGCCCAGCTCGTGTTTGGCTAATTAAGGGTCTGTTTGTGGCAACTTATTTGGTATGGTGGCATTTTGAAAACGCTTCTGACTTGTTTGATTAAACTATGTTTTGGCAGCTTATGCGTTTTCAAAATGCTAAAAATATTGTTTTCACACCGCACTTGTCTATGTGTGGTGGCAACTCTTTGCTGCGGTCTTACTTTTTCAAAAAAAAAAAATTGTAGTAGTTATCGCACCTAGCTTATCGGCAGATTATTTTTAATCAGCTTATCAATAGAGCATTCAACAGATCATTCAATAAGCTGCAGCTGCCCCAAATAGACTCTATAGAGCATTCAATAAGCTGCAGCTGCCCCAAATAGACTCTAAAAAATATCATTATTTGTATTCAACTCATTTATTTTTCGAATACAAAAATTTGATCTTGTTCAACTCGTTTGTTTATCGAACACGAGTTGTTCATTAACAAAAAAATCATTTTAACAATCACAGTCATGTATCCAGCCATTAGGGGTGTAAACAAGTCGAGCTAGAGAGAGTTCATACTATGCTTATTAAAAAAAGTATCATTGTGCGTATTCAGCTAGTTTATACATCGAGCTAAAAAAATTTATTTGTATTCGACTCACTTGATTATCGAGTCGAATACGATCTATTCACGAAAATTGAACTATTTTGACAACCCTATTAATGTAGCGCTAAGATGTTAAGGATATGACAAGATTTAAATCTTGTTATTTATATTAGAATTTTCATTTAAATAGTATTTAATATATCTTTATTGTATTTTTAATTAGTAATTTTAATTGATTATAAATCTTTGTGGCATTGTAGTCAATTACATTATTTAAAAATAATATTAATCATATATATATATATATAGTTCAGCTCGTTATATGTGGAGCGCCAAAAGATTGTTTGTGTTCGGCTCGGTTGTTTAGAGAATGAATCGAATGCGAGCTACTTAACGAGCGGAACATGAGTTGTTCATAAATAACGAGCCATTTTGATAGCCCTAGACTCTCGTATTGTGCTGAAAACAACTATTTTTTTCATTCTATATACATACCCCTCAATTCACGTGTATTTTCATATCTAACACATGAACTTCACTAAACTTCAATTTTTATAAGAATATCTCTTATCAATGCATGAAAATGTATATTTTAAAATAATCATATTTTTATCTCAACTAAAAGATTTGAGTATTATAAAGATAACAAATATAAAGTTTATTTGTTAGATATGTAACTGCCTAGGATTAGTTAGTATGTATGTAAAACCTAGTTCCTTGAGATCTTTCACATTATTTTATATCAATGTGCTACATGTTTTAGTACGATCGTTCATCATAGTTTATAAAAAGTGTAAAATAATAGAGTTCAACTCTAGTATTCTTCTTTTATTTAAGCCAAATTAATTATTTGAGTTTAAGCTTATCTTATGAATTTGAGTCGATTTGATTCTTAGGAAAGAGAAAATTAGCTTTAATTTATATAATAATAATTATTAAAACAATTAATCAGGATCATTCATTTCATTCATTCGTTTAATCAGCATGAAGATCAAAATATTTATCATCTAATTATTGGCTTGAGAGAAGACATTTGAAAGTGCCAATCGACTGTCAAGTATGCTGCCTACATAGTGTTGGTGGACTGAGGCATACATGTCAAGATAAAGCTGAATGTGTGTGAAGAAAACACTACCACAAAACGAAAGGATATTAATGCTATAGTGCAAGAAGAACTACAAAAGAAACACATGAAAGATAAACCTGAGAACAATTCTAGTTGCCTTCACTGCAGAAAGAGACACACTGGACCATGCAACCTAACTATTAACAAATGTTTTAACTGTTATAGCACCGATCACAAAATCAAAGATTGCCCCTTCCCACCCCAAATTAAGCCTATGGTAAACCAGGAGACCAACAACAAGCAACATAAGAATGGGTGGTATAGATTTAATAATGGTCGACACTATAAACAAGTTGACATCAGACTGACAGACCAATACTATCTTCAGCACCAACAGTAACCACAACAAGTGATGGTACATTAACTATATCAACAACTACCTCTTGAATTGTAGTACCAACAAAAGCATCCGCCCCTCACTTATCAACATCCTTCAAAGGTGCAGTACGAGCCTCAATGATCTCAGGCTCTAGAACAATCCAGTCAAGCGATTCCACCTATCACAATTGTTATGGCTCCGCAAGAAGCCTGTGAAGCTCCTGTTGTAGTGACAGGTATTATCCCTATTTTAAAATAACTGGCAAGGAGAATTGTTTAACTTTGGGGTCTCACATTCATCCATATCATATCATTTAGTGCATTGGGTTATACAATACATTTTGCATTAGTCGTATCATCTTACTCATCTTTATATATGCATATAAATCCACACACAAACACACACATATATACATACATCTACACACACACACACACACACACACACACACACACACACACACACACACACACACACATGTGTATACATAGATATATATACACACATATATAATATAATAATGTGCACAACTGATGCCCTGTTGGTTAGCAGCTTCGGCATAAGTCCCCTCTGTTCCGAATCTATTTGGGTCGAATTAGCACACATGGGATGAACAGACACATGTCGTCATCCATCTTTGAAAAAAATATAATAATAATAATAATAATAATAATAATAATAATAATAATAATAATAATAATAATAATATAAAAATAATAATAATGAACATTGATTATGTTATAACTAATTTAATGGTAAAACTTAAAATACGTAATTAATCTTATTTTCTAGTTGATGTCGGATTGATTGCCGCCTCGAGGTAAGTAACACTTTTTTATTTGAGGTTAAACGTACACTTCCTAGTCTGGGGCGTTAATCCATGTTAATTGAAATAGATTCATACCTATGTTATAAGATTGCTAGTCATGCCCTTGCTACTTCAATTTTGTACTTATTTTAGGTTTAAATTATTACTCATAATGAAATCACTAACTGCCTTAATTTATTGATGTAAATTTTATTAGATATTTGAATTAATCCCACAGTTATGACCTTTCGTTTTCCACACCTTATATGAAATTGCAATTGTCATACCACGAGCTTGAATGACATATTATAGTTCTTATATATTAAGCTTGTGGAAATAATTTAGCAAGCTTGTGTGTGATGATATGTAGGTTTGTAGAACTTTTTTTGATTTTGGCTAGTCGGGTCGACGGTTCAAAAAAGTGATGACTCTAATCAAAATCATCAGGTTTCGTTGGGTTGATATTGAATTTCTCGGTTTTAAAGTGTTCGTTAAAATCAACTATATAATTAATGAATGAAATGATTGAAAATGATTGCATGTTTCCTTATGTTAAGTATACTCGGTGCTTATCACTTTCTTGTTGTCTTACACTGTTATATATACATGCACGTAGTGATCGTCATTATTTATTATCAATGTTGCATGTCGTATTTTCCCTCTTTAATATGTAATTGTTATTTATTGAATTTGTTTGTCAAACTCACTCCTAGATATTTTTACATAACAAATTCTATTGAACCACCAATAGGAACATCTCCACCAGAGCAAGCTTTCAATTTTAATTTTCCCGTCTTGGTATTTTTTTAAATATTTGTTTTAGTTATTTTATCTTTCTTTTTGGATTTAGATAACAATTTCCTATTATCATTTAAGTTTGGATTCAGCTAGGTTCCGACTTTCAGTTCCATTGTACCTGCTGATTATTCAATATGAATAAAATCTATATTTCATTTTTTATTTACAGGCAAGTCTTTCTGCAAGAGTACAAAATATGTTCATTTCATTTCATCATGTCCTGCATTGACGGGGTGTACCATCTTCCGAACCCTGAGTGTGACAAATGAGTAGCAAGTGGGTGCCAAATTATGATATGGGATAGGAATTGATGAAGAAAGAACCTGCTAATAGAGCCATGCTGCAAGTCTGCAAATCAATGTGTTGCCGTTTTAGAATATTGTTGGGTCATGAGTTTGCGAAGGAAGTCCGAGAGAGTTTGTGAGCATTTTATCCAAGGAGCGACAAACTCATGGAAAGGGGAAGGTATTGACAACTAAGTTTTAAAAAGGCTCTAAAGCTGAACTGAACGATGTAGGGAA